CTCGTCTCCTATTTCAATTTACTTTGTATATTTTGTTGTACAAATAATTATAAATATATATGACGGGGTAAGTGTGAAAAACGGGGCAACTGTGAAAACGTGGGTAATTTCTATGTTTAACTTTTCCGAGTTCAATTCTAATGCGAGTAACTGACACCGTCTATGATGTGTACGGCATTTTAAATCATAAAACGTGATGCTTCTGGAGCTTGTAATAATTGACCGAAAAGCTTACCGGATCTTCGCTAGCTGTCATCAGGTCACTGCCATTGTCCAGAACATCATCCTCCTCAATTCGAATATCGCCATCATCTGCTGGCACACTAGCAGCCATTTTGTAATAATCACTGCAAAAAAAAACATTGCGTATTAATTTCATGTGTGCATTTTTGAGAACTTTTTTTTTTTCGACGTATAATACCTTAATAAAACTTTGCTAAACATATACAGACAAATGTATATATCCTAGAGAAAGCCACTGAGCTGGTAATCCCAGCACAGGAAGAGGAACGAACGTCATGACCTCTAGCACTAGCAGCAGCCTAGAAATAGTAGGAAAGACAGACTGGACTAAGTGTCATGTGTAAGAAGACATTTTACGAAGTGAGATTTCATTTTTTTTTTTTTTTTTTTGTAGAAGACTTGCCAGATGCACAATGGGAGAAGCACACAACATGAATAGTCCGGTCTGTGTTTACAGCTAAGGGATGAAACGCACAGAGACCGCATCGTAAAATGTCTTTTTGTACATGACACCTAAGTCGAATCTTTCTACTCCACTATGAATTAACAGCATTTCAGGCAAAACTGAGGGCTCTTCTCAACAAAACATGCTGTGCTTCGTTCTGCTAAAACCCAAAATGCACCGCTGCGAACCTCTGAGATCTAAGCTGCTTTTGGGCGTCAAAAGAAGTGCTATGTATTCCGCAACTGCTTCCCCAAATCAGCTCATCCAGCTGGAGCTAAACAAGTACCACTGGGAGGATCACGGTGAAACAGAAGGATTCATTTGAACGTAGAGGAGTGGCGGGGATACATGGAGGACGAGGGAAGGAGAGGGAGGGAGGAAGGGAGGGAGTAAGAGGAAGTTAAACATAAACTATCGTGAGTTTAAAAGTTGCGAGTCAGACTAGTGTGAGTTTTGAGGTCCTGGTAGAAATAGACCATGAGCTGAACAAAAGCCGAGCCGA